AATGCAGTATTAGAATGTGGGCAGAAGTTTGTGGTTATAGGAGGGTGGGGGCAGGAGGAAAGAGGAGTGATTGGTGGAATGATGAAGTAAAGGGTGTGATAAAAGAGAAAAAGGTAGCTTATGAGAGGTTTTTTACAAAGCAGAAGTGTTATAAGAAGAGCAGAGTATATGGAGAGTAAAAGAAAGGTAAAGAGAGTGGTGAGAGAGTGCAAAAGGAGAGCAGTTGATAGAGTGGGAGAGGCACTGTCAAGAAATTTAATGAAAATAGAAAAAATTTTGGAGCGAGTTAAACAAGTTAAGAAAGCCTAGGAAAATATGGATTTGTCAGTTAAAACAGAGTAGGGGAGTTAGTAGATGGGGAGATGGAGGTATTGGGTAGATGGCGAGAATATTTTGAGGTACTTTTAAATGTTAAGGAAGAAACAGAGGCAGTAATTTCATGCACTGGTCAGGGAGGTATACCATCTTTTAGGAGTGAAGAAGAGCAGAATGTAAGTGTGGGGGAGGTACGTGAGGCATTACGTAAAATGAAAGGGGGTAAAGCAGCTGGAACTGATGGGATCATGACAGAAATGTTAAAAGCAGGGGGGGATATAGTGTTGGAGTGGTTGGTACTTTTGTTTAATAAATGTATGAAAGAGGGGAAGGTACCTAGGGATTGGCAGAGAGCATGTATAGTCCCTTTATATAAAGGGAAAGGGGACAAAAGAGACTGTAAAAATTACAGAGGAATAAGCTTACTGAGTATACCAGGAAAAGTGTACGGTAGGGTTATAATTGAAAGAATTAGAGGTAAGACAGAATGTAGGATTGCGGATGAGCAAGGAGGTTTTAGAGTGGGTAGGGGATGTGTAGATCAGGTGTTTACATTGAAGCATATATGTGAACAGTATTTAGATAAAGATAGGGAGGTTTTTATTGCATTTATGGATTTAGAAAAGGCATATGATAGAGTGGATAGAGGAGCAATGTGGCAGATGTTGCAAGTATATGGAATAGGTGGTAAGTTATTAAATGCTGTAAAGAGTTTTTATGAGGATAGTGAGGCTCAGGTTAGGGTGTGTAGAAGAGAGGGAGACTACTTCCCGGTAAAAGTAGGTCTTAGACAGGGATGTGTAATGTCACCATGGTTGTTTAATATATTTATAGATGGGGTTGTAAAGGAAGTAAATGCTAGGGTGTTTGGGAGAGGGGTGGGATTAAATTATGGGGAATCAAATTCAAAATGGGAATTGACACAGTTACTTTTTGCTGATGATACTGTGCTTATGGGAGATTCTAAAGAAAAATTGCAAAGGTTAGTGGATGAGTTTGGGAATGTGTGTAAAGGTAGAAAGTTGAAAGTGAACATAGAAAAGAGTAAGGTGATGAGGGTGTCAAATGATTTAGATAAAGAAAAATTGGATATCAAATTGGGGAGGAGGAGTATGGAAGAAGTGAATGTTTTCAGATACTTGGGAGTTGACGTGTCGGCGGATGGATTTATGAAGGATGAGGTTAATCATAGAATTGATGAGGGAAAAAAGGTGAGTGGTGCGTTGAGGTATATGTGGAGTCGAAAAACGTTATCTATGGAGGCAAAGAAGGGAATGTATGAAAGTATAGTAGTACCAACACTCTTATATAGGGTGTGAAGCTTGGGCGGTAAATGCAGCAGCAAGGAGACGGTTGGAGGCAGCGGAGATGTCCTGTCTAAGGGCAATGTGTGGTGTAAATATTATGCAAAAAATTCGGAGTGTGGAAATTAGGAGAAGGTGTGGAGTTAATAAAAGTATTAGTCAGAGGCAGAAGAGGGGTTGTTGAGGTGGTTTGGTCATTTAGAGAGAATGGATCACAGTAGAATGACATGGAAAGCATATAAATCTATAGGGGAAGGAAGGCGGGGTAGGGGTCGTCCTCGAAAGGGTTGGAGAGAGGGGGTAAAGGAGGTTTTGTGGGTAAGGGGCTTGGATTTCCAGCAAGCGTGCGTGAGCGTGTTAGATAGGAGTGAATGGAGACGAATGGTACTTGGGACCTGACGATCTGTTGGAGTGTGAGCAGGGTAATATTTAGTGAAGGGATTCAGGGAAACCGGTTATTTTCATATAGTCGGACTTGAGTCCTGGAAATGGGAAGTACAATGCCTGCAACTTTAAAGGAGGGGTTTGGGATATTGGCAGTTTGGAGGGATATGTTGTGTATCTTTATATGTGTATGCTTCTAGACTGTTGTATTCTGAGCACCTCTGCAAAAACAGTGATAATGTGCGAGTGTGGTGAAAGTGTTGAATGATGATGAAAGTATTTTCTTTTTGGGGATTTTCTTTCTTTTTTGGGTCACCCTGCCTCGGTGGGAGACGGCCGACTTGTTGAAAAAAAAAAAAAAAAAAAAAAAAAAAAATTCAGGGAAACCGGTTATTTTTATATAGCCGGACTCGAGTCCTGGATATGGGAAGTACAATGCCTGCACTTTAAAGAAGGAGTTCGGGATATTGGCAGTTTGGAGGGATATGTTGTGTATCTTTATACGTATATGCTTCTAAACTGTTGTGTTCTGAACACAAAGTGTTGAATGATGAAAGTATTTTCTTTTTGGGGATTTTCTTTCTTTTTGGGTCACCATGTCTCGGTGGGAGGCGGCTGACTTGTAAAAAAAAAAAAAAATCTGTCTGAAGGAATAAAATAATACTTAACCCTTTCAAGGTCCGTCCCGTAGATCTACGGCTTTACGTTCAGGGTCTAAACCGTAGATCTATGCCATGAGCTCAGCTCACTCTGATAAACTGTGAGTGGTACATTTGGGCCTAGATATGAGAGAATACATCTATGTGGTATGTGTGCACCACATAAAACAGATCCTGCAGCACACTGTGTATAATGAGAGAAAAAAAATGAAATCATGATTTTTCGATTAAAACAGCAACTTTGCAGTGTTTTTTCGTATGTTTTTTATAGTTGTATTTGCGATTTCTTGGTCTCATTTGATAGAATGGAAGACATATTACAGAAATAGAGATGATTTTGACTGGTTTTAGCATTGGAAATGGCTTGAAACTGAGCTCAAAGTAGCAGAAATGTTAATTTTTTGCCGATATTCAAGAGTAAACAAACGACCTCACACGTCTAATACACGTCAGCTGGTGGGTCTAATATACATTCACAAATATGGTGATGATATTTATACAATTATTACAGTATTGCATAACAGTAAATCTTCTATTTTTTGGTGTGAATAAAAATTCATTATGTGAATAAAAAATAAAATGGAATTTATTTGTAAAGCCTCAAAACATAACTAATGAACAGAGGAAATGTTAATTTAGTGCCAGGAATGCCTACATTGTTCATTCTGGACCCTATTTTGAAATTGGAATATTTTGAACTTTGTGTTAAATTGGCCACATTAACAATTTCCGATCACTTTATTTTGTAGTTGAAACAGTTGACTTGGCGATTTCTTGTGCTCAATCGATAGAATAGAAGTAATACTAGTGAAATAGCTAAGAATTTGGTTGATTGGAATAATGTAATTGGCCTAAAATGGGAGTCAAAGTCGGCAAAATCGCCGATTCGTAAATATCGCTGACACATCAAAATTCGCGAGAGCATAATTTCGTCAATTTTCCACCAAATTTCGTACTTTTTGTTTTATTACCTTCACAAAAAGGTTCTCTACGATTTCATAAGAAAAAATGACAAATTTTTTTTTTGAAAATTCTTGGACACGGGTGCGTGACTCCAGATTTGGGCCTTGGACCCTGAAAGGGTTAAACCACTCAACAAACAGCCTCACTCAGTTTTGTTAGACTGCCAAATAAATAACAGGCAAAGTGATTTTTGTCTAACTTTTAAAGCACAAGGAGTCTGTGAACGATAAATAACAAATCACTGAAGTTTTACCATTTCTCCGATAATAAAACATAACCAGGAATGACTGGCCATGGTTTAGGGTATCCTAGTAAAAGAGACCAGGGGGGTAGGGAGGAACTTGACCTCTCTTCAAGAAAATCTTCAAAACTAGAAGTTTTCAGATACTCTGAGCCTAATTTCAGGCTACTCCTGGTTTGAAACCTACCCAAATTATCTATATTTTCATTCTATCAAATGATACCAAGAAATGGTCAATAAATTCATAAAAATCATCCAAGAAAACACCCCAAACCCAGGTAAAAGGCTTGCTTTTCCCATCATGATACATGATAATATACACTTGGAAAACCCTCGAGGAACTACTCTCAAATCTGCACATTAAGATCACTCCCTACAAAAGCGAAAGATTTGGCAGGAGATGCAACATCCCCCCCAGTAAAAAAGCAGGGGTGCCACAAGTATGCTAAGAAACAACAAAAAAAAATGTAAGGGGCCCAAGACTATTCAACTGCCTCCCAACATACATAAGGGAGGATTAACAATAGACCCCTGACTGTCTTCAAGGAGGAGCTGGACAGGCACGTAAAGTCAGTACCTGACCAGCCGGGCTGTAGTTCATATGTCAGTTTACATGCAGCCAGCAGTAACAGCCTGGTTGATTAGGCCCTGATCCACCACAAGGCCTAGTCACAGACTGGGCCATGGGGACACTGACCCCTGAAACCCCTTCCAGGTATACCATGCACACTCATCACACAGACCCATTCTCTTGTCTAGGCCAAAATTTACCACTTGGAGCTTATTCGAGGGAGTTGAACTCAAAGCATAGATCTATGCAACACTGGTGTCAATAACGTAGATCAAGATGCAAGATACAGTCAAAGGGTTAACATGGTTGGTTTCTACTGCTTTCTGTCAGACACTACTTTATTACATCCTTAATTATTCTTGTCCCATCTCGCTTTGCTAACTGTAACCTTTATCTGTTTGTCTGATGTGTGTTGTGTTGTGCAGCTCTGCATAACTTTCACACAAAGTACTTTCAGGTGAAACTTGTAATCAATAATACTGTACTGAACCAACTTTTTCCTGATAAACCAGTTATTTTTGCATCAATACAGGACAGGTGAACAATCTGAGAGAAATGGCATCTAAAAAAAATATTATATCATTCAAATATATTCAATTACAATATATTACAAGTATCTAAACAAATAAAATATAATCCAATTATAAACATCTGAGGTTTTCATTATTTAATATGCAAGACTATTTTGAGAGAAATTTTCAATGTTGCCTTTAAGCTCAATGTAAAAAAATAATGCACATGCCATAACTGAATAAATGTTTCTATTCTTCCATACCCCTTACAAAAATTTATATAAATGCTCTCACCTGGCCAGGATAAACAACAGACATTATTCGAAAACAAGTTTAAATTCCTGCATTAAATACATATTTCAAGATTTTCCCCTTTAGTTTAATTTCAAAAAATGACTTTCAAATATATTTAAATCTTGAAGTGATAATAGACTGAACTGCCTTAAGTACTTTGAATTATGCTTACCTTAGTCCACTGAAGTCTTGTCACTCATGTATTCAATGCATACAGCTAAAAAGAGTCTTGCCATTCAACAACATATTCCCATCTACTAACATATTAATATAAAGGGACACTTTTATAATCCAAAAAATGAAAAGGCTGCACAAAAATATTTAAAACATCTCTTTAATTGTATGTATATATTTTTGATAATGAAAAAGACCCAGCTACCAGAGCATGTGAGGATCTATCTTCACTGATACAGATTATGCCTCTAACATTATGCATATAATAAATGCAACAATTGCCAAATTAAACTAAATATTTCAGAAAGCTGTGTGATATAAAATGCAGTGAAAAGCAATTTGTCTACAATTAAGAGAATACAGAAATATAAGATTTAAAATGACTGGAGACCCCCTTCCCCTTCGGCAAAAATATGTTTAGTCACCAATAAATATCTTCCAGTCCTAAAAATGGGAACATTAAAATGGAGGAAAAAATTATTATGAAGCTGCTACTGCTGTGTCTGGTGTTTCTGATACCTGACCAGATGTTAGTACTTTATTACTTTCTAAATTTTGCTCAGACGGTAAAGACTCAAATGGTTGTGGTTGTGATGATAGTTCCTTAGATGACTTTATATTGCTTTCAGATGAATCAACTTGGACAGAAACTACATCTGAGGAAGTTTCTCTATTAATGTCATACTGTATGTGAGTATCACAGGAAGCTAGATCTTTCTGTAAAACTTCTTTGCATGCCTGCTCTAAAGTTTCTGGTTGGGACTGACATATACTGACTCTAGGCTCATTTTGTTCATCCTTTTGATCATTTTGAAGTGAAATTTCACCATTACTAGGGCAACTGAAGTGCTCCTGATCTTGTGATCCACTTTCCAGCCCAACTGGTGCTGAAGTTTCATCTTGTGCAACACACACTCCTTTTTTATCTTCCCGCTCAGGAGGCGGCACTATTGGGATTGCTGCCTTAGGTCTCTTCTGTAATGGTGGGATACTTCTAGGCAGGTGCTGTTGGCTTTCTGTGTTGTAGTACGTCACCCCGTTACTATAGATCTCCCCAGGCTGTGACTGCAATATCAAATTTAAAATGTGGTTATTATATAACAAATTCCTAGGTAGTAGGTTGGTAGACAGCAACTGCCCAGGGAGGTACTACCGTCCTGCCAAGTGAGTGTAAAACAAAAGCCTGTAATTGTTTTACACGATGGTAGGATTGCTGGTGTCCTTTTTTCTGTCTCATAGACATGCAAGATTTCAGGTACGTCTTGCTACTTACACTTAGGTCACACTACGCATACATGTACTAGCATATATAGACACACCCCTTTGGGTTTTCTTCTATTTTCTTTCTAGTTCTTGTTCTTGTTTATTTCCTTTTATCTCCATGGGGAAGTGGAACAGAATTCTTCCTCCGTACGCCATGCATGTTGTAAGAGGCGACTAAAATGCCGGGGGCAAGGGGCTAGTAACCCCTTCTCCTGTATAAATTACTAAATTTAAAAAGAGAAACTTTCGTTTTTCTTTTTGGGCCACCCTGCCTTGGTGGGATACAGCCGGTTTGTTAAAAAAAAAAAAAAAAAAATCTGATCAGCAATTTCTAACTTGATTTATCTTCACTAGTATACTAGTATCCTGCTGATTTATTTTTTTCATCAAGTGATAAAATAACAAGGTACTGTACAGAAAATAAATTTGTGAAACAAATTAATGATATTCAATTAGTTTGTTTTCCTGCCATGTTGCTGGATGGGAGATGTGTGTTGTTACCAGTTACTTTAGGCATTAAGTCAGAGAGCTAAGATTAGTAATAGGAGACTGCCCAAAGCTTATAATTGTTAAAACATAAAACTTCTGAATTTTAGCTCATACACTGTCTCTGGGATGTTAAGCAAGGCTTGTTTTACTACAACATAAATTCATCTTCACTGCCCTCAACTTTGTAAAAGTGTATTACTATGATATTTTTGTTTTTGTCCTGTCACCTAGTCCCCTTCCTTATTCTCAAAGCACTTACGCAGAATAAAGGCCACAAATACCTTGCCTGGAGCAATTCATAACCCATAAAATAAAAAGTGGACTTCATTTGGTGTTATCACAAGAACATACCAAAATATCAACCATCTTTTACAGTGATACCAACTGTGGGTTAGCTGCAAAATGCACACCTATTTTCTGCAACCAATTTTAAAATTATCTAATTCTGACTCTTGTTACCTCACCTCTTTACATTTTTTGTCTTGAAAATTGCCACCATTGCTTACCACTGATTACACATTACTTGACAACAGCAGCTCTTAAAATAATCTCTCCAATGATTTAGAAGTACGTTCCTACATTATATCAGAGACTTATGCTTATCCAAATCATTTCCCTCCCCTTACTTTATTACTTCTTTTCAAAACAACTTTCTTTGATAAATTAAGTTTTCTTTTTCATAAAGAAATATGTTTTATCTGTCATTCTTTCCTTGGCCTTGGCTTTACTACACGAAGCAATTTCTTTCTTTCATGTTTCTACGGCATATCATCTCTGTTTTCTAAAATAAATTATTTAAGTAAAACCTTGCTCTACTGTACATATCTCATACCAATGGTTCTCCTTTCAAACAATAATTGTCAGCTTATACTAATCTTCTTTCAACAAAATGACCGTATCCCACCAAAGCAGGGTGGCCCAAAAAAGAAAAAAGTTTCTCTTTTTAACTTTAGTAATGTATACTGGAGAAAGGGTTACTAGCCCCTTGCTTCCGGCATTTCAGTCGCCTCTTATAACACTCATGGCTTACAGAGGAAGGATTCTGTTTCATTTCCCCATGGAGAAAAGAGGAAATAAACAAGAACTAATAACAAAATACTAGAAGAAAACCCCAGATGGGTGTGTATACATATGCTTGTACAAGCATGTGTAGTGTGACCTAAGTGTAAGTAGAAGTAGCAAGACGTACCTGAAATCTTGCACGTTTCTTCTTTCTTTCAATGCACTGGCCATATCCCACTGAGGCAGGGTGGCCCAAAAAGAAAAACGAAAGCTTCTCTTTTTCTTTCTTTCTTCTTTCAACAAACCGGCCGTATCCCACCAAGGCAGAGTGGCCCAAAAAGAAAAACCAGTTTCTCTTTCTAAATTTAGTAATTTATACGGGAGAAGGGGTTACTAGCCCCTTGCCCCTGGCATTTTAGTCGCCTCTTACAACACGCATGCCTTATGGAGGAAGAATTCTGTTCCACTTCCCCATGGAGACAAGAGGAAATAAGTAAGAACAAGAACTAAAAAGAAAATAGCAGAAAACCCAGTGGGGTGTGTATGTATATGCTTGTACATGTATGCGTAGTGTGACCTAAGTGTAAGTAGAAGTAGCAAGACGTACCTGAAATCTTGCATGTTTATGAGACAGAAAAAAGAACACCAGCAATCCTACCATCATGTAAAACAATTACAGGCTTTCATTTTACGCTCCCTTGGTAGGACGGTAGTACCTCTGGGCAGTTGATGTCTACCAACCTATACTAATATCTTGCCTAATTTTTATAAACCACTCCACTACTCTCATTTTTTCCTCTAAGTCCTCTGGTTTATATGCCCAACTGATTTCAACTGTCTTACATGACCAGCAAAACCAGGTACTTCTCTTACCACAGTGAAAGTATTAAGTTCATATTCAGAAGTTAAGCAAAGAAACAAGTAGCTGTGTATGTAGTACAATGTAGTGGAAACTGTTGCTGTTTTAACTTACCACAGGACCAGGAGTGTAACCCTGGAATGGTGGGAACTGAGGTGGGTGAGGAGCAGCTCCTGGGAGAGATCCAGGGTGAGGACCGGGATGTGCACCATAATTAATCATGTTCTCAGGAGGTAAGAATGGTGGGCCAGTAACTGGAGGACCAGGGACAGGGGGTGCACCCACTGGAGGAGCACCCAAAGGACCTGCCACTGGAGGAGGACCACCAACAGGTGGTCCAGGTACAGGTGGTGGCGCCACTGGAGGACCAAAGATGTGTGGTGACTGCGTGACTGGTGGGAAGAGCCGAGGGGCTGGGGGCCGTCCTAAGAAAGGTTCTGGTGGAAATGTTGGAGGTGACGTAGTAAAGGCTGGAGGAACAAACGAAGGAGGAGCACCACCAGCCAATGGATGCTGGGTATGAGGAGCTGTCACTGTGTGGCCTGGTGAAGTTACAATTCCTCCATCATTCACACCTCCCTGATAGTCTGAAAACAAAATTACATCAGGCCAATACAGGTAATACATTAGGGCAACCAAGGGAGATAAACCCATCCCATGCTACAGTACATCTCAGAAGTGCTATCTGTATAAAATTATTTTTCCCTTCCTAAGAAATGTAAACAGTTCAGGTAATGCAGCAGTTTTCAATTATACCCATTCTTCACTCATTCAGACTTCCTACAATAAATATATTCACTACTCACTATAGGCTAAGGACAAAAAATATTTTAAGTTAAGTAATGTGTAGAAATAGAGGTAAGACAGAATGTAGGATTGAGGATGAGCAGGGAGGCTTCAGAGTGGGTAGGGGATGTGTAGATCAAGTGTTTACATTGAAGCATATATGTGAACAGTATTTAGATAAAGGTAGGGAAGTTTTTACTGCATTTATGGATTTAGAAAAGGCATATGATAGAGGGGATAGAGGAGCAATGTGGCAGATGTTGCAAGTAAATGGAATAGGTGGTAAGTTACTAAATGCTGTAAAGAGTTTTTATGAGGATAGTGAGGCTCAGGTTAGGGTGTGTAGAAGAGAGGGAAAATACTTCCCGGTAAAAGTAGGTCTTAGACAGGGATGTGTAATGTCACCATGGTTGTTTAATATATTTATAGATGGGGTTGTAAAAGAAGTAAATGCTAGGGTGTTCGGGAGAAGGGTGGGGTTAAATTATGGGGAATCAAATTCAAAATGGGAATTGACACAGCTACTTTTTGCTGATGATACTGTGCTTATGGGAGATTCTGAAGAAAAATTGCAAAGGTTAGTGGATGAGTTTGAGAATGTGTGTAAAGGTAGAAAGTTGAAAGTGAACATAGAAAAGAGTAAGGTGATGAGGGTATCAAATGATTTAGATAAAGAAAAATTGGATATCAAATTGTGGAGGAGGAGTATGGAAGAAGTGAATGTTTTCAGATACTTGGGAGTTGACGTGTCGGCGGATGGATTTATGAAGGATGAGGTTAATCATAGAATTGATGAGGGAAAAAAGGTGAGTGGTGCGTTGAGGTATATGTGGAGTCAAAAAACGTTATCTATGGAGGCAAAGAAGGGAATGTATGAAAGTGTAGTAGTACCAACACTCTTACATGGATGTGAAGCTTGGGTGGTAAATGCAGCAGCAAGGAGACGGTTGGAGGCAGTGGAGATATCCTGTCTAAGGGCAATGTGTGGTGTAATTATTATGCAGAAAATTCGGAGTGTGGAAATTAGGAGAAGGTGTGGAGTTAATAAAAGCATTAGTCAGAGGGCAGAAGAGGGGTTGTTGAGGTGGTTTGGTCATTTAGAGAGAATGGATCAAAGTAGAATGACATGGAAAGCATATAAATCTATAGGGGAAGGAAGGAGGGGTAGGGGTCGTCCTCGAAAGGGTTGGAAAGAGGGGGTAAAGGAGGTTTTGTGGGCGAGGGGCTTGGACTTCCAGCAAGCGTGCATGAGCGTGTTAGATAGGAGTGAATGGAGACAAATGATACTTGGACCTGACGATCTGTTGGAGTGTGAGCAGGGAAACTGGTTATTTTCATATAGAAAATTAAAATGGTATAAAATACCGACAGGTTGTTAGGTAAGACACATATGCAACAGTTAGGTATCTTTATTTCGAAACGTTTTGCCTACACAGTAGGCTTCTTCAGTCGAGTACAGAAAAGCTGATAGAAGCAGAAGATACTTGAAGACGATGTAATCAGTCCATCACCCTTAAAGTTTTGAGGTGGTCAGTCCCTCAGTCTGGAGAAGAGCATTGTTCCATAGAATTGTTTCACTCTATGGAACAATGCTCTTCTCCAGACTGAGGGACTGACCACCTCAAAACTTTAAGGGTGATGGACTGATTACATCGTCTTCAAGTATCTTCTGCTTCTATCAACTTTTCTGTACTCGACTGAAGAAGCCTACTGTGTAGGCGAAACGTTTCGAAATAAAGATACCAAACTGTTGCATATGTATTTTCATATAGTCGGACTTGAGTCCTGGAAATGGGAAGTACAATGCCTGCACTTTAAAGGAGGGGTTTGGGATATTGGCAGTTTGGAGGGATATGTTGTGTATCTTTATACGTATATGCTTCTAAACTGTTGTATTCTGAGCACCTCTGCAAAAACAGTGATAATGTGTAAGTGTGGTGAAAGTGTTGAATGATGATGAAAGCATTTTCTTTTTGGGGATTTTCTTTCTTTTTTGGGTCACCCTGCCTCGGTGGGAGACGGCCGACTTGTTGAAAAAAAAAAAAAAAGTAATGTGTGTACTGTATATGTATTTTTCAGGCCTAGCTATTTTGCTAACTTAATATATGATAGTGTAAACATGTTATCAGGCTTTTACATGCACTTAAAAGTGAAAAAAGGTTGTTTCACTTTACAGTGATAGGCCAGAACCTAACCTGCTGTATAACTGGGGCCTTCCTGTATAAGAAGTTATTTCATGAGGCATCGGCCAGGAATGCATCTATTACACAAAGCATGGGACACCTGTAGAGCACTGTTGTCATCAGTGGGAACATATCAATGTCATATGGGTGAAGCTGGTCTATAGCCCATTCTGCATGTGACATCATCCTACAGTACAGGAAGGTCCCACTTATGCAGCAGGTTAGGTTCTGGGTTACTGCTGTAAAGTGAATCATGGCCTTTTTTTCACTTTCAAATGCACACAGGAGCCTGATAACATGTTTACACTATCATATATTAAGTGAGCACTATTGTTAAGCCTAAAATAATGCATATACAGTACACACATTAATTAATCTTAAATATTTTCATCCTTAGCTCATAGCAAGTAGTGAATGTATCTATTGTAGGAGGTCTGATTAAATGAAGAATGGGTATAAGTGAAAACCAATGTATTAGTGAAACAATGTAAAACGGGACCTGCCTGTACTTGATTTTTGTTCAGTATTCACTTCATTCAACACTAAAGGCACAAAAAAAAAAATTCAGTATACAGTGGTAGCTCGAGTTTCAAACAGCTCCCAACTAGAACAATTATGTAAGTGTATAATGCATAGATATTTTTCATCTTAAGTCTATAATATTTTAAAACAAACGGGAAAATTCTAATAATTGTGAAAATTGAATGAACCATTTGAATTCTTACTCGTATCTACAGCCGGATCCATATAACCATGTTGCTGTGGGAAAGGTGGAACCTGTTGCTCAGGGATAGAGCGTTGTCTCTGAGATGAATATCGCTTTGGTCGAGAGGATGACCCATCTCCACCAGGAGATGCATTGCCACCTCGGTTTCCTCGACCTTGCATATTAGCTGCGGCAGCCACCGATTCCTGGAGTCGTGGAGGTACTGAGCTGCGTCGGTTATCCACATTTCCTCCCCCACCACCTAATTCAATAAAATGCTCTTAATGGGGGGACATTATGAGGGTTACCTGGAAAATGTATGATCATGATGTCAATGTATTCTGCAAACACTGGCTGCACACATGGCAAAAGCTTTACTAAACTAATTACTTACGACTTTTATTCCTGAATGGCTCTTCTCTATTTTGTGAATTAACACTAATGTTTTTCAACTCTGCTGTTATCTCTTCCACATCTCTGCTTGCATGTGAATTGTGCTGTTGAGGTAAACGCTGTTGATGTCCACCACGATTACCACGGCCACTAGACCTATTGTCTTGATAATTGTGGCTCCCTCGTTCCTCATTATATCTGCCAATAAAATGCCGTCACAACAACTGTACACAAAAGATTAACACCAAACAACTACAATAGATTTTGACTTTTATATTTACACAGGTTTTTACAAGTAATATAATGTACACAGATTATTCCTAGGTAGTAGGTTGGCAGACAGCAACCACCCAGAGAGGTACTACTGTCCTGTCAAGTAAGTGAAATGGAAACCTGTAATTGTTTTACATGATGGTAAGATTGTTGGTGTCCTTTTTTCTGTCTCATAAACATGCAAGATTTCAGGTACGTCTTGTTACTTCTACTTACACTTATGTTACACTACACATACATGTACAAGCATATATATACACACCCCTCTGGGTTTTCTGCTATTTTCTTTCTAGTTCTTGCTCTTGTTTATTTCCTCTTATCTCCATGGGGAAGTAGAACAGAATTCTTCTTCCATAAGCCATCTGTGTTGTAAGAGGTGACTTACATACAGGGAGCAATGGGCTAGTAACCCCTTCTCTTGTATATATTAATAATTACTAAGCTTTTGTTTTTCTTTTTGGGCCACCCTGCTTCAGTGGGATGCAACTGGTTTGTTGAAAGAAGAATGAAATGTAATATCAGCATAATCCTTTGTCTGGGTTACTGAAATAAAGATAGATTTTGTCTTTGTAAGGGTTATTTAATATTACTTAACATTCATCTAAATATGTTCTTTCCCTTCACTAGGTAATTCAAACTTTTTTTGCCAGACTTTAGAAAAATGGGAAGTGAAATTTGGCATAACAATCTTTTTTTTTTTAGTTTTAAGAGCTTATAATAATAATAATATCTTTATTTACTACAAGTACATGTACATGGTACACAGGCCTAGCTGACATTAATGACATACTACTATACAGAAAGCCTCTTGTTATGCAAAGCATTTTGGGCAAATTAGGTCAGTTTTGTCCCAGGATGCAACCCACACCAGTGAACTAACTCCTAGGTACCCATTTTACTGATGGGTGAACAGACAACTGGTGTAAAGAAACACACCCAATATTTCTACTTGCGCTGGAAATCAAACACAGACCCTCGCCATGTAAAGCGAGAGCTTTAGCCACCAACTTTATTGATTTTAAAGATACAAGTTAAAACTGCCCTTGGCAGATATAAAACTTTTTGATAATTTTAGATATATACAATAGTACATAAACTAACCAGAAGAAACGAAAACTATATGAGCATGTCTGCAGCCTGATACAAAAATTCTGTGCAGAAAGTAGTGCACTCAAGTTACAATATAACTACATATTTTAATCAAATATCACAAAGTAAAACATTTTCAGCAGAATGTCATTAACTGTTAAAGTTTCTCTAAGGTTAGATGAACCTTTTAACCAAATATTTAATTAGCTACGCTTGCTTTCACAACACGTCCCCTTCAGTCTGACACACACATTAACCCTTTCAGGGTCCGTCCCGTAGATCTACGGCTTTACATTCAGGGTCCAAACCGTAGATCTACGCCATGAGCTCAGCTCACTCTGATAAACTGTGAGTGGTACATTTGGGCCTAGATATGAGAGAATGCATCTATGTGGTATGTGTGCACCACATAAAACAGATCCTGCAGCACACTGTGTATAATGAGAGAAAAAAAATGAAATCATGATTTTTCGATTAAAACAGCAACTTTGCAGTGTTTTTTCGTATGTTTTTTATAGTTGTATTTGCGATTTCTTGGTCTCATTTGATAGAATGGAAGACATATTACAGAAATAGAGATGATTTTGATTGGTTTTAGCATTGGAAATGGCTTGAAACTGAGCTCAAAGTAGCGGAAATGTTAAATTTTTACCGATATTCAAGAGTAAACAAACGACCTCACACGTCTAATACACGTCAGCTGGTGGGTCTAATATACATTCACAAATATGGTGATGATATTTATACAATTATTACAGTATTGCATAACAGTAAATCTTCTATTTTTTGGTGTGGAATAAAAATTCATTATGTGAATAAAAAATCAAAATGGAATTTATTTGTAAAGCCTCAAAACATAACTAATGAACAGAGGAAATGTTAGTTTAGTGCCAGGAATGCCTACATTGTTCATTCTGGACCCTATTTTGAAATTGGAATATTTTGAACTTTGTGTTAAATTGGCCAAATTAACAATTTCCGATCACTTTATTTTGTAGTTGAAACAGTTGACTTGGCGATTTCTTGTGCTCAATCGATAGAATAGAAGTAATACTAGTGAAATAGCTAAGAATTTGGTTGATTGGAATAATGTAATTGGCCTAAAATGGGAGTCAAATTCGGCAAAATCGCCGATTCGTAAATATCGCTGACACATCAAAATTCGCGAGAGCATAATTTCGTCAATTTTCCACCAAATTTCGTACTTTTTGTTTTATTACCTTCACAAAAAGATTCTCTACGATTTCATAAGAAAAAATAACAAATTTTTTTTTTTGAAAATTCTTGGACCCTGAAAGGGTTAAAACCAGCCAGTTTGCTAATCTAAGATCAATAAATTTGCAGACAGATCACAGAGATGTCAGAACTTGAAATTTACTGCATTAAAAAAAATTTCTACTCAGCAATTTTTTCCTACTCAACATTCAAACATGTATCGGAAGTTTTTGCTCTATCCAATACAGTGATGCGGTGTCACTGTTTAAGGTAATATAATTTTTTCCAAACTCATTCCTAAAAATATAATCCTTATTTTGTGGTACGTATTTCTTAAGTTAAGATTTTATAAAAAAATTTAATCTCATAATCAATCACACCAAAATATTAGCATGACCTACTGTAATGCATTGCAGCCAACTTGCATGCACTTTGATCCACTTTTTCTACATCATAAACATTAAGTTATTTACCTATGCATTATAACAAAACAACACATAGGATAGAGAATGTTACAGCACAAAATTTCACTATACGAGCTCTTCTCTACACTTATGCTCTTTTGTTTACATACTTATTCACATTTACCTTACCTATATTGCTCTCGTTCTCGATTATGACCTCGAGCTGATCCTCTGCCACGACCCCTACTCCCTCTGCCACGGCCACCATAACCATCAGCACGTACATCTTGAGGCTGTGGACTTGGGCCAGCATTCTTTTGTAGCTGCTGTTGTTGCTGATGTTGATGCTGTGGTGGTGGTGACTGCTGCTGTTGCTGTGAAGCCAGTGGTGCTACAGGCTGCTGTTTATAATTTTCATTTTCCCCTGCAAAAGTAAAACACATCAACATTTTGAATATAGCAAATACAGTACATTACTTTAAACATGAAAATATTTAATAGTTCATCTCATTCTTTTATTAGTTATACATGCTCTAAATTAAGGGGGCCATCCTCCATATATGTACATACATGTATACGTATGTTGGAGCGAAAGCAGGGTAATATTTTGCGAAGGGATTCAGGGAAACCAGTTAGCCAGACTTGAGTCATGGAAATGGGAAGTACAATGCCTGCACTTTAACCCTTTCAGGGTCCAAGGCCAAAATCTGAAGTGGTGCCCCAGTGTCCAAGAATTTAAAAAAAAAAAATTGTTATTTTTTCTTATGAAATGGTAGAGAATCTTTTTGTGAAGGTAATAAAACAAAAAGTACGAAATTTGATGGAAAATTGACAAAATTATGCTCTCGTGAATTTTGATGTGTCAGCGATATTTACGAATCGGCGATTTTGCCGACTTTGACTCCCATTTTAGGCCAATTACATTATTCCAGTCGACCAAATTCTTAGCTATTTCACTAGTATTACTTCTATTCTATCGACTGAGCACAAGAAATCGCCAAGTCAACCATTTCAACTACAAAATAAAGTGACCGGAAATTGGTAATTTGGCCAATTTAACACAAAGTTCAAAATATTCCAATTTCAAAATAGGGTCCAGAATAAACAATGTAGGTATTCCTGGCACTAAACTAACATTTCCTCTGTTCATTAGTTATGTTTTGAGGCTTTACAAATAAATTCCATTTTGAATTTGTATTCACACCAAAAAATAGAAGATTTCCTGTTATGCAATATTGTAATAATTGTATAAATATCATCACCACATTTGTGAATGTATATTAGACCCACCAGCTGGCGTGTATAAGACGTGTGAGGTCGTTTGTTTACTCTTGAACATCGGCAAAAATTTAACATTTCTGCCACTTTGAGCTCAGTTTCAAGCCATTTCCAGTGCTAACACCAATCAAAATTATCTCTATTTCTGTGATATGTCTTCCATTCTATCAAATGAGACCAAGAAATCACAAATACAACTATAAAAAACATACGAAAAAACACTGCAAAGTCGCTGTTTTAATCGAAAATCACGGTCTCAGTTTTTTTTCTCTCATTATACACAGTGTGCTGCAGGATTTGTTTTATGTGGTGCACACATACCACATAGATGTATTCTCTCATATCTAGGCCCAAATTTACCACTCACAGTTTATCAGAGTGAGCTGAGCTCATGACGTAGATCTACGGTTTGGACCCTGAACGTAAAGCCGTAGATCTACGGGACGGACCCTGAAAGGGTTAAAGGAGGGGTTTGGGATATTGGCAGTATGGAGGGACATCTAAACTGTCGTATCTGAGTGTCCCTGCAAAGACAATGATTATGTATGAGTGATGGTGAAAGTGTTGAATGATAATGAAAGCTTTTTCTTTCTTTTTGGGTCACCCTGCCTGGGTGCAATGTGTTAAAAAAATATAATGTATGCTAGAAAATCTTAAATTCTATGAAATGCGATTATGGGGTCATTATAGTTGCCAAACATTTCTACACAATGTGTGGTGTAAATATTATGCAGAGCATCCATAGTCTGGAGATTAGGAGGAGGTGCGGGATTACTAAAAGTATTATTCAGATGGCTGAGGAGGGGTTACTCAGGTGGTTTGGACATACAGAGAGGATGGAGCAAGATGGGATGACTTAGAGATGTATAAATTAATAATGTAGGCAAGACTGGGTAGGGATTGCCTTAGGAAAGGTTGGAAAGATGGGGTAAAGCAGGTTTTGTGTGTGTGAAGGGCCTGGATATTCACCAGGCATGTGTGAGTGTGTTAGACAGGAGTGGAGGCAAATGGTTTCTAGGACTTGATAAGCAGTTGGAGTGTGAGTCAAGTAATATTTTGTGAAGGCATTCAGGGAAACCAGTTAGTCAGAACTGAGGTGGGAAGTACAGTGCCTGCACTCTTAAAGAGGGGTTTGGGATATTTACTGTTTAGAGGGACATCTAAACTGTCGAATTTGTGTGCCTTCTCTGGCAAGACAGCGATAGTGTAAATGATGTTGAAAGTGTTTCTTTAACAGGTCTCCCTGCCTCAGTGGGAGACAGCCAGCTTGTTAAATTTTTTTAACACACTGGCTATCTAGGGCAACCCAAAAAAGTTGTTTTCACCATCATTCACTTTATCACTATCTTTCCAGAGGCAGGCAGATATTACATTTCAGATGCCCCTCCAAATTGCAAATATTTCCACCCCTCTTTCAGAGTGCAGGCACTGTACTTCCCACCTCTAGGACTCAAGTCTGGCTAACCGGACAATTCTCATACACAAAATTATCGTACAATTTAAAATACTAAATACTATTTAAAAAATAGTGAGCCTAACCTGCATGCAAATTGTCCATAATTGTTCCTAGTGGCTCTTCACGTGGAGAATGAGATTCAAACTTGCTACATTCTTCGATATATTTGTCATCTTCATGTTTTTTGTACTGTGAAGAATTCAGTGCCGGGAATTCTTCATCATTATCAAGAGTTTTTCGGCTGCCAGTCAAGGACCTGGATCCTCCTCTTCCAGGACCACCACGTATAGCTCCACGGACAGGTTTTGCATAAGCATCCAGATCTTCCCAATTGCGAGTGTATTTGTTAGGGCCACGTCTGTGAACACAAGTAACAATAACAATTTCACAAAACTTTTATTAAATACACCTATAAACCAGTTGTTTATTATGAAGCACTTTTATGGCAACTACAAACCAGTAAGAATTTTGCTGCACATAGTTGTGTTAGTTCATCTTATCACTCTTAACACTTTAGTTCCTCAGTATTAACAGAGCCTGAAATGCACAGTACTTGTATTTCAAGTACAGTGGAACCCTGGTTTTCGACCAGTCTGAATATTGTACAATTCGGATTTCAATCACTTTTTACAGCAAATTTTTACCCCAGGTTTCATACATCCACTGGGAAATCATTTGTACCAGACTCATCCACCTGGGCCGCTCATACATTCGTGATACTGATTTTTTTTTTTAACAAGTTGGCCGTCTCCCACCGAAGCACGGTGACCCAAAAAAGAAAGAAAATCCTCAAAAAGAAAATACTTTCATCATCATTCAACACTTTCACCTCACTCATACATAATCAGTTTTTGCAGAGGTGCCCAGAATACAACAGTTTAGAAGCATATATGTATAAAGATACACAACATATCCCTCCAAATGGCCAATATCCCAAACCTCTTCTTTAAAGTGCAGGCATTGTACTTCCCATTTCCAGGACTCAAGTCAGCTATAAAAAATAACCGGTTTCCCTGAATCCCTTCACTAAATATTGCCCTGCTCACACTCCAACAGCTCGTCAGGTCCCAAATACCACTCGTCTCCATTCAATCCTATCTAAAATGCTCCTGCACGCTTGCTGGAAGTCCTAGCTCATCTCCCACAAAATCTTCTTTACCCCCCCTCCAACCTTTTCAAGGATGACCCCTACCTTGCCTTCCTTCCCGTACAGATTTAAACTCTCTCCATGTCATTCTACTTTGATCCATTCTCTCTAAATGACCAAACCACCTCAACAACCCCTCTTCAGCCCTCTGATTAATACTTTTATTAACTCCACACCTTCTCCTAATTGCCACACTCAGAATTTTCTGCATAATATTTACACCACACATTGCCCTTAGACAGGACATCTCCACTGCCTCCATCTCCTCGCTGCAGCATTTACCACCCAAGCTTCACACCCATATAAGAGTGTTGGTACTACTACACTTTCATACATTCCCTTCTTTGCCTCCATAGACAACGTTTTTTTGTCTCCACATATACCTCAATGCACCACTCACTTTTTTTCCTTCATCAATTCTATGATTAACCTCATCCCTCAAATCTATCCGCTGACACGTCAACTCCCAAATATCTGAAAACATTCACTTCTTCCATACTCCTCTCCAATTTGATATCAAATTTTCCTTTATCTAAATCATTTGATACCCTCATCACCTTATTCTTTTCTATGTTCACTTTCAACTTTCTACCTTTACACACACTCCCAAACTCGTCCACTAACCTTTGCAATTTTTCTTTAGAATCTCCCATAAGCACAGCATCACCAGCAAAAAGTAACTGTGTCACTTCCCATTTTGTATTTGATTCCCCATAATTTAATCCCATCCCTCTCCCAAACACCCTATAAACTTCTTTTACAACCCCATCTATAAATATATTAAACAACCAGGGTGACATTACACATCCCTGTCTAAGACCTACTTTTACCGAGAAGTAGTCTCCCTCTCTTCTCCACACCCTAACCTGAGCCTCACTATCCTCATAAAAACTCTTTTCAGCAATTAGTAACTTACCACCTATTCCATATACTTGCAACATCTGCCACATTGCTCCCCTATCCACTCTATCATATGCCTTTTCTAAATCCATAAATGTAATGAAAACTTCCCTACCTTTATCTAAATACTGTTCACATATATGCTTCAATGTAAACACTTGATCTACACATCCCCTACCCACCCTAAAACCTCCTTGCTCATCCGCAATCCTACATTCTGTCTTACCTCTAATTCTTTCAATAATAACCCTACTGTACACTCTTCCTGGTATACTCAGTAAACTATTATTTTTTTTTATTAACACACTGGCCGATTCCCACCAAGGCAGGGTGGCCCGAAAAAGAAAAACTTTCACCATCATAAACTAATTCCTCTATAATTTTTACAATTGCTTTTGTCCTCCATTCCCTTTATATAAAGGAACTATACATGCTCTCTGCCAATCCATAGGTACCTTCCCCTCTTCCATACATTTATTAAACAAAAATACCGACCACTCTAAGACTATATCCCTCCTGCTTTTAACATTTCTGTCATTATCTCATCAGTTCCAGCTGCTTTATCCCCTTTCATTTTACATAATGCCTCGCGCACCTCCCCCACACTCACATCCTGCTCTTCTTCACTCCTAAAAGATTGTATACATCCCTGGCCAATGCATGAAATTACCACCTCCCTTTCTTCGTCGACATTTAAGAGTTCCTCAAAATATTCCCGCTGTTACGGCCCCCTGCCAAACTAGTGGTTAAATAGTTAACCTGCCGGCCGGCAGTACCACTGGGTACGTCATCAAACCCACTGTAGGGACTGCTGACCCGGCCTTAGCAGCAATAAGTACCTGAACACCTCACGGTACACATCTACTGGCTTTAGAAGCAGTAGGTACCTGAACACCTCACAGTACACATCTACTGGCTTTAGCAGCAGTAAGTACCTGAACACCTCACGGTACACATCTACTGGCCTTAGCAGCAGTAAGTACCTGAACACCTCATGGTACGCATCGAAGCAGCAGTTACCAGAACACCTAATGGTACACATGTACTGGCAGTAGAGAGTATTCTACTGGCTTCTACTGATTTTAGAAGAACCGCTCACCGCAGCTCACTGAGTCTGTTGGCCTCAGTTACTTGACGGCCGCATACAGTGAGCTTACAGCATGGTGTTCTGCAAGCAGGATTAACTGAACCTCCTTGCGGTGTGTCAACTGGTCTTGAAGGCGGTAGATAGTACTCACCAGACCATCTTACGGTGTACTTCTACCGGCCTTAGAGAGTATTTACAGGACTACCGGTGATGTCTGCGGACTCACCGCCTACGCTGGTCAACTGTGTGACACGGAGAGCTGGAGTGTCTGGTGACACAGAGAAAAGGGTGTCAAGGGACACGGTTGTGAAGGAGCGTCATCACACGCCGAAAAGGGTGTCGAGTGACACGGTGGAGAAGGAGCGTCACAACTCGAATAAGTGTCGTGTGGGACACAGAGCGTCATTATAAGTGTCATGTGAGACACGGAGTTTTTTCATTCCAGTAGTATGTTCAGGTGCCAGTACTGACCGAATTTTTTCCCATAAGGAATATTGTGAAGTAGATTAGTCCATTTCAGACCCCCAAACATACACGTACAAACGCACTTACATAAATACACTTACATAATTGGTCGCATTTGGAGGTGATCGTTAAGCGGGGGTCCACTGTATATTATTATTTTAAGATGCTAATAATTTATTATTGTAACATATATATATATATTTTAAATACCTCTAGACCAAAGACAGTTGTTTTTATATAATATTAAAGATTAATTTATTTTAATGTGTATATATGTATCCCGAACTTTTATATTACTAACACCTAATGTAAAAAAACCAATTGGTGTTTTTTGTAATACCTGCCATCTACCCAATACCTCCATCTCCCCATCTACTACTCTCCTACTCTGTTTTTAACTGACAAATCCATACGTTCCCTAGGCTTTCTTAACTTGTTTAACTCGCTCCAAAATTTTTTCTTATTTTCATTAAAATTTCTTGACAGTGCCTCTCCCACTCTATCATCTGCTCTCCTTTTGCACTCTCTCACCACTCTCTTCACCTTTCTTTTACTCTCCATATACTCTGCTCTTCTTATAACACTTCTGTTTTGTAAAAACCTCTCATAAGCTACCTTTTTCTCTTTTATCACACCGTTTACTTCATCATTCCGCCAATCACTCCTCTTTCCTCCTGCCCCCACCCTCCTATAACTACAAACTTCTGCCCCACATTCTAATACTGCATTTTTAAAACTATTCCAATCCTCTTCAACCCCTCCTCCCACTATTCACACTTGCACTAGCCTACCTTTCTGCCAATAGTTGTTGTATCTCACTCGAACTTCCTCCTCCCTTAGTTGATACACTTTTACCTATCTCTTACTTGTTGCCATTTTCCTGTCCCATCGTCCTCTTACTCTAACTGTAGTTACAACTAAATAATGATCCGATATATTAGTTGCCCCTCTATAAACATGTACATCCTGGACCCTACCCATCAACCTTTTGATACCAATATGTAATAATAATCACTCTTAAATGTCTTATTTTAGATTAATATAGACATTTTCTTCAAATTTACATAAGAAACACGTTACATAGCATATAAACATGCCTTTGTTACCCGTTCACTAATGCCATAGTAATAATACTAATTTTTTTTTTTCAACAAACCGGGCGTATCCCACCAAGGCAGGGTGGCCCAAAATGAAAAACGAAAATATCTTTTTCTAAATTTAGTAATTTGTACAGAATAAGGGGTTACTAGCCCCTTGCTCCCGGCATCTTAGTTGCCTCTTACAACACGCATGGCTTATGGAGGAAGAATTCTGTTCCACTTCCCCGTGGAGATAAGAGGAAATAAACAAGAACAAGAACTAGAAAGAAAATAGAAGAAAACCCAGAGGGGTGTGTATATATATGCTTGTACATGTATGTGTTCTCCTTGGGGAAGTGGAACAGAATTCTTCCTCCATAAGCCATGCGTGTTGTAAGAGGTGACTAAAATGCCGGGAGCAAGGGGCTAGTAACCCCTTCTCCCGTATAAATTACTAAATTTAAAAGAGAAACTTTCGTTTTTCTTTTTGGGCCACTCTGCCTTGGTGGGATATGGCCGGTGTGTTGAAAGAAAGAAAGAACATGTATGTGTAGTGTGACCTAAGTGTAAGTAGAAGTAGCAAGACGTACCTGAAATCTTGCATGCTCATGAGACAGAAAAAAAGGACGCCAGCAATCCTACCATCATGTAAAACAATTACAGGCTTCCGTTTTACACTCACTTTGCAGGACAGTAGTACCTCCCTGGGTGGTTGCTGTCTACCAACCTACTACTTACAATAATACTTATTTTTTTTTTTTCAACAAACTGGCCATATGCAACCAAGGCAGGGTGGCCCAAAAAGAAAAACGAAAGTTTCTCTTTCTAAATTTAGTAATTTATACAGGAGCAGGGGTTACTAGCCCCTTAACAGCAGCAGGCATTTAGACAATCTTCAGAAGGCCAAATAAACCATACCACGGGCGGGGATAGAACCCGCGATCAGAGTCTCAAAACTCCAGATCGTCGCGTTAGGCACTGGACCAGCTAGCCACAATAAGATTCGTCCAACTAGGTGTATTTCTACACCATAGGAAGGTTAGCATAGGCACCACTGTGACCACAAATGCAAGTTTTTACAGACGAATCTCCAGCTAGTGTGACCGTAACGAACTCTAGCTCAAGTCCCCTCAAAGCCAGCAACATGACTCACGAAATCGTAACGACACGATTGCAAACAAACCATACCCCGGGCGGGGATAGAACCTGCGATCAGAGAGTCTCAAAGCTCCAGACCATCACGTTAGCCACTGGACCGGCTAGCTGGTCCAAACAAACCATACCACGTGCTAGCTGGTCCACTGGCTAACGCAATGGTCTGGAGTTTTGAGACTCTCTGATCGCGGGTTCTATCCCTGCCCGTGGTATGGTTTGTTTGCAATCGTGTCATTACGATTTCGTGAGCCATGTTGACGGCTTTGAGGGAACTTGAGCTAGAGCTCGTCACAGCCACGCTATCTGGAGATTCGTCTGTAAAAACTTGCATTTGTGGTCACAGTGGTGCCTATGCTAACCTTCCTTCTATGGTATAGAAATATACCTAGTTGGACAAATCTTATTGTGGCTAGCTGGTCCAGTGGCTAACGCGACGGTCTGGAGTTTTGAGACTCTCTGATCGCGGGTTCTATCCCCGCCTGTGGTATGGTTTGTTTGCAAACGTGTCATTACGATTTTATGAGTCAAGGCCAAATAAAGGTTGAAGGCATAAATTCATAAATTTTGAAGGCAGGGTTCTCTTTAGGCACTCCTAACTCAAATAATGCTTTTGTGCACTTGTATGTGAATGGAGAGGAAGAGTCTCAAGAAAAAGGCTATGCTCTACTAAGGAAAGAGAGCAAACTAAAAACTTTCATAGATAACATCCAAATGGTTGCAATATATTATTTCATCCAAAAACTTTGTATACAGTACTGAGTTTAAAGTACAACAGTTTCATTTATTTCTTATGGTTTTATCACACACACATTCTCAATTTCAAAAATTATTACCAAGACTGACACTTTCTAATGTATCTCTTTCTTATAGGGATAGTGTCTAATGAATAGACCAATCACTACTCTTCTTACCCATAACGTCTTCTACGGCGAGCTCTGGGAGGACCTTCTTCATTTCGGATATCATAACCATACACGGCGACTAATTCTTCTCGGCTCTTGGGAGCTTGATCAAATTCATTAAACTTATCGTGGTTCCACTTATCATCCTCTTTCCAAACTTTCTTTTTACCAGTTTCTTTTTTCACTATTGGCTCCTCGACCCTGAAATGCAAGATTTTGTCACATTAACATTCATGTTGCCTACCATAACTAAACGGTTTCCCCTGAATCTTCATAAATGTTATCTTGCTCACACTTCAACAGAACAAGCATTACAAACCATGTTTATTGCCGATAGTAAGACCAATCTTAGTATCTTAATTAAGATACTAATTAATATAATTAATTAAGATACTAATTAAAACTTAATTAATATAAACAGAAATTGTACATCAGTCATTTCCTTACAAGGATCCGAAGAAAACACATTCACCAATACTCATTCAACAGATGTCTTGTTGGATGCTCATGGCTATCATACTTCAAACAAGCACCTTCAACTTTTATCAATATTACTGTATTATTATTAATATCCCCAACCCATTAAATAAATCAAGACAAAAAGAACTAAACTTACGGTTTCTCTACATCATCTTCAGCAGCAGTTCGGTCATCGTGCTCATAGAATGTTCCTTTCTTTGGGATATATTGTGGGTTTTTTCGGTCTTCATCATCGTCCAGCTGTTTGTTGTCCTATAATAAGAATATAGCCATATAATACAAAGCCCTTGGCAATATATTTAACATTCTTAACCCTTTGACTGTCGCGGCCGTATATATACGTTTGTGAGGTACCGTGTTTGACGTATATATACTCATAAATTCTAGCGGCTTCAAATCAGGCAGGAGAAAGCTAGTAGGCCCACATGTGAGAGAATGGGTCTGTGTGGTCAGTGTGCACCACATAAAAAAAATCCTGGAGCACGCAGTGCATAATGAGAAAAAAAAAACTCCGACCGTTTTTTTTAATTAAAATGCCGACTTTGTGGTCTATTTTCGTATAGTATGTGTGGTTGTATTCTCGTTTTCTTGGTCTCATTTGATAGAATGGAAACTATATTATAGAAATGGAGGTGATTTTGATTAATTTTACTATAAAAAGAACCTGGAAATGGAGCACAAAGTACAGGAAATGTTTGATTTTTGCCGATGTTCAAAAGTAAACAAATGATGTCATTGTCCAATAAATGTCCAAATAGCCATTCTAATACGCAGTCATGAATGGGTTGATGTAATTTTTACAATTATTACAGTATTGCAGTAGTCTGCATAACAGTAAATCTTCTATTTTTTGTTTGAATAAAATTTCAAAATAAAAAGCAAGAGTAATATCACAGGGACCTGGAGACATGACTGATGAACAAAGAAAATCTTATTTTAGAGCCAGGAATGTCTGCATTGTTCATTCTGGACCTTATTTTGAAATTGTCGTATTTTTTAATTTTCGTGAAATTGGCCAAATTGCAAATTTCTGACCATGTTATTGGGTAGTTGAAATCGGTAAATGGGCAGTTTCTTGTGCTCAATCGATAGAAAAAATAGAGTTCTGAAGAAATAGTTATGAGTTTGGTTGACTGGAATAACGGAATTAGCCGAAAATAGGGCTCAAAGTGGGCGAAATTGCCGATTTTTAAATATCGCCGAAGTCGCTAACTTCGCGAGAGCGTAATTCCGTCAGTTTTCCATCAAATTTCGTTTTTTTGGTGTCTTTACAATCGGGAAAAGATTCTCTATCATTTCATAAGAAAAAATAATTTTTTTTTTTTCGAATATTTTGCGACACCAGGAGCAACTTCAGGATTTGGCCCTTTGACAGTCAAAGGGTTAATGAGATACGTGAATGCACTAAAGAATATGTCAAGTTTAGTTATGCAAGTTCTTTGAAGGCTTAAACAAATTAATTTATTTTATATTATATAAATTTTAGAAATGTTGGGGTAAGATACTTGTTTAGGGCTGATGAAAATTAAAAAAAGATGGAATACAAAACTTTACATAACAAAATTTGACTGTTTTTGTTAGGGTACCTATTATTCAGTTGATCCATACATTTAAAATAACTTATATTTACTAGTAATGCTTTCACTACTATGACCTTCAAAATTAAGTCCTGTTAATGTTGCGATTTAAAAAATTATCTCCTAAAATCGCAGAGAATCTTTTTCTAGGTAAAGACAAAAAATGAAAAACTTGTTGTATGCAGGCATAATTCAGGGAACACTTTGCACAACTGTGATTTTTGCCCAATTTGAAGTCTATTTTAGGCAAATTCCAGTGCTCAAACTGACCCAAATTTCATACTAATAAGAAATTGCCCTTTTAACTATTAGAACCATGCACTGTGTGGAGCAGATTCTTTTGAATACTGTGCACACCCACCACATACAGCCATTCTCTCATATCTAGGTCAAAACTCATCACAGCAAATGTGAAGGGACTGTGATTAAGATGCAGATTTATGCAAGTGACATTGACTTAAGTGATTAAAAAATGCATACACGACAGGGTTAATGCTATAAGAACTAAAATTGACATATCTTTTCCTCACTATTCCGAGTGCCACTAAATGTGTAATGAAGTCTAATAATTGTAGAAACACAAAGTGTGTCTCACCTCTCCTAATCCTATCCCATCTGGCATGATAATGAGCTCGTCATCTTCCTCCTCCTCCTCTTCTCCAAGCTCTTCCTCATCAGCACTTTCATATTCACTCTCACCTCCATCGCTACCCTAAAAAGACAAAATTAATATATTATGAGACAAGTTTGAAAATTTTGAACTTTAGCATTATTAGAAAAACATGATAAAATTACACCTCCAAATTTTGAAGAGATGAAAATAAATTAAATATATGCAAGACAATTCAGATAGTAGGTTGGTAGACAGCAACCGCCCAGGGAGGTACTACCATCCTGCCAAGTGAGTGTAAAACGAAAGCCTGTAATTGTTTTACATAATGGCAGGATTGCTGGTGTCTTTTGTGTCTCATAAATATGCAAGATTACAGGTACATCTTGCTACTTCTACTTACACTTAGGTCACACTACACATACATGTACAAGCATATATATAGTATATATATATACACACCCCTCTGGGTTTTCTTCTATTTTCTTTCTAGTTCTTGTTCTTGTTTATTTTCTCTTATCTCCATGGGGAAGTGGAACAGAATTCTTCCTCCGTAAGCCATGCGTGTTGTAAGAGGCGACTAAAATACCAGGAGCAAGGGGCTAGTAACCCCTTCTCCTGTATGGATTACTAAATTTAAAAAGAGAAACTTTTGTTTTTCTTTTTGGGCCTCCCTGCTTCAGCGGGATACGCCCGGTTTGTTGGAAAAAAAAAAATATGCAAGACAAGCCACGGGGGGTGGAATCTTAAGCTCAAGTACTTTCACACTTCTCGATGTGTCATCAGGAGCTGAGCAATGTTGCAAGGGCAGCAAAAGGAGAAAATGAGGGGAAGTTTTTTCAGAGTGTGGTTGTGTGGGCGGCACCTGCGAGGATCTCTCTCTCTCTGCCACCCATGCTACCATATTCTGAAAAAACTTCCCCTCATTTTTTCCTGTTGCTGCAACATTGCACAGCTCCTGATGATGCACTGAGAAGTGTGAAAGTACTTGAGTTAAAGATTTCCACTCCCCATGGCTTGTCTTGCATTGTTATGATTGCCTGTTTGTGATTGTTTTGCATCTGTATGTAGACATATGTATGTGTACGTAGGTATGTACTCACCTAATTGTAGTTGCAGGGGTCGAGACTCAGCTCCTGGCCCCGCCTCTTCATTGATTGCTACTAGGTCCTCTCTCTCTCTCTGATTCCTGAGCTGTATCATACCTCTTCTTAAAACTATGTATGGTTCCTGCCTCCACTACTTCACTTGCTAAGCTATTCCACTTCCTGACAACTCTATGACTGAAGAAATACTTCCCAACATCCCTGTGACTCGTCTGAGTCTTCAGCTTCCAGTTGTGACCCCTTGTCCCTGTGTCCCCTCTCTGGAACATCCTACCTCTGTCCACCTTGTCTATTCCCCACAGTATCTTGTATGTTGTTATCATGTCTCCCCTGACCCTTCTGTCCTCCAGTGCCGTCAGTCTGATTTCCCTCAACCTTTCCTCGTACGACACTCCCCTGAGCTCTGGGACTAGCCTTGTTGCAAACCTTTGTACTTTCTCTTACGTATGTGTGTACGTATGTGTGTGTACATATGTGTGTGTGTATGTATATGTGAGTGTACGTATATATGTATGAATGTATGTACGTATATATAAAATATTATATATATATATATATATATATATATATATATATATATATATATATATATATATATATATTATATATATATATATATATATTATACACACCTACCATCCAACTACGACCGAGTTCGGTTCCGGAGAAAAAAAAACCGTCATAAGTTGAAATGGTCGGGTAAAGTCAAACTTACTTACTAAGTATCAACAAAACATTTTTGTAATGACTTTTATTTTTATTGTTTTTATTTTGGTATTTACACATTTTACGTTAAACTTTTAATATTGTTAGTACTGTATTTTAACTGTAAGGGTTTTAGGATAAAACACTGTGTACAAACACAAATATTGTTTATTTCCCAGAATTTGGCATAAAAAACACGGTCGTAATTGAGTGGTTCGGCAAGTCGAGCAGGTCGGTAAGTCTGATGGTAGGTGTATATATACACCACACAAGTATATTTAATTACATATATTATAAACACGTACATACACCACCTACCATCCGAACTTACGACCAAGTTCAGTTTCCGAGAACCGGTCGTAAGTCGAAATGGTCATAAGTCAAGACTTTTACTACTGAATATCACAAAACATTTTTGTAATGACTATTTTATTGTTTTATTTTGGTATTTCATGTTTTACTTTACTTTTTTAGTTGCTAGTACTGTATTTTATACGTAAGGTTTAGAGGATAAACACAGTGTAACACACAAATAGTTTTGTTAATTTCCTCAGAAATTTGGCATAAAAAACACGAGCGTAATCGAGCAGGTCCGTAAGTCGGATGGTAGGTGTATATATTTTTTTTCTTTTAACAATTGGGGGGCCATCTCCCCGCGTCTCACCAAGGCAGGGTGCCCCAAAAAGAAAGAAAATCCTTGAAAAGAAAATACTTTTCATCATTATTCCAACACCTTCCACCTCTCTCATATATAATCACTGTGTTTTTGCAGAGGTCCCAGAAACATCAACAGTTTAGAAGCACACACGTATAAAGATACACCACATAGCCCTCCCAAACTGTCAATATCCCAAACCCCTCCTTTAAAGTGCAGGCATTGTACTTTCCTATTTATCCAGGACTCCAAGTCCGGCGCTTATATAAAATAACCGTTTCCCCTGAATTCCTTCGCTAAATATTACCCAGCACACACTCCAACAGCTAGTCAGGTCCCCAAATACCATTCGTCTCCATTTCACTCCTATCTAACACGCTCACGCAATGCCCTGCTGGAAATCCAAGCTCCTCGGACACAAAACCTCCTTTTACCCCCTCCCTCCGAACCCTTCCAGGCCGACCCCTACCCGCCTTCTTCCACTACAGACTTGATACCACTCTTTGAAGTCATTCAGTTTCGCCTCACATTCTCTCTACATTCCGAACCACCTCAACAACCCTTCTCAGGCCCCTCCTGGACAACAGTTTTGGTAATCCCCACCACCGTCCTAACATCCAAACTAACGAATTCTCTGCATTCTATAATTCACACCATACAATTGCCCTCGAGACATGACATCTCCACTGCCTTCACAGCCTTCTCCTCTGCTGCAACATCATCACCCACGCTTCACACCCATATAAGAGCGTTGGTAAAACTATACTCTCATACATTTCACTCCTCGGTTTGCCTCCCAAGGACAAAGTTCTTTTGTCTCCACAGACGCCTAAGTGCACCACTCACTTTTTTTTCCCGTCATCAATGTTCTATGATTCACCGTCAATCTTTCATAGACCCAGTCCGCTTGAGCCCGTGTCCACTCCCAAATATCTGAATAATACGTTCACCTCCCCATCCTCTCCCTCCAATCTGATATCAATCTTTCATCACCTAATCTTTTTGTTATCCTCATACTTACTCCTTTCCTGTATTCACCTTTATTTTCTTCTTTTGCACACCCTCCCAAATTCATCCACCAATCCTCTGCAACTTCTCTTCAGAAAATCTCACCAAGAGCACAGTTTCATCAGCAAAGAGCAGCTGTACAACTCTCCCACTTTGTGTGTGATTCTTGATCTTTAACTCCCACGCCTCTTGCCAAGGACCCTCCGCATTTACTCTCTTACAACCCCAATCATAAATATATTAAACAGACCACGGTGACTCACACATCCTTGTCTAAGCCTACTTTTACTGGTAAAACAATTTCCCCTGTCCTACATACTCAACTTGAGCCTCACTACCTCGTAAAAACTCTCACCTGCTTTCAGTAACATACCACCTACACCATACACTTGCAACATCTGCCACATTGCCCCCCTATCCACCCTGTCATACGCCATTTTATTTCCAAATCCATAATTGCCACAAAGATCCTCTTTAGCCTAGATCTAAATACTGTTCCACTTATATGCTTCACTGTAACACCTGGTCCACACACCCCCATCCTTTCCTAAAGCCTCCTTGTTCATCTGCTATCCTATCTCCGTCTTACTCTTACTTCTTTTCATTATAACTCTACCATACACTTTAACCAGTACACTTCACAACTAACCCCCTATAAATTTTGCACTACTCTTTTATCTATCGCCCTTTGCCTTTATACAAGGAACTATGCATGCTCTCTGCAAATCCCTAGGTACCTTCCCATCTTCCATACATTTATTAAATAATTGCACCAACCCTACTGTCCAAAACATATCCCCACCTGGCTTTTAACATTTCTATCTTTTATCTCTAATACACTTCCATCTATCTCCGGCTGCCTTACCCCCTTTCATTTTAACCTACTCCTCACAACCCCCCACACTCACAACTGCTCTTCCTCACTCCTACAAATGTTATTCCTCCTTGCCTATACACGAAATCACAGCTTTCCCTATCCATTCATCAACATTTAACAATTCCTCAAAATATTCCTTCATCTTCCCGCAATACCTCTAAACTCTCCATTTAATAACTCTAATCTTTTTGTTATCCTCATAACCTACTCTTTCCCTGTATTCATCTTTAATTTTCTTCTTTGCACACCCTAATCCTACCAAATTCATCCACAATCTCCTGCTATTCTCGTATGTATATATATATATATAAATATAGGGTATATATATATATATATAAATTATATATATATATTTAAAATAATAGATATATATATATATATATATATATATATATATAATATATATATATATATATATATATATATATTATATATACTATATATATATATATAATAAAGTAATAAATAAAATATATATATATAATATAATATTTAAATATATATTATAGTATATATATAGATATATAATATATATATATATAGTAATAATATATATACATATAATAAATATATATATAAATATATATATAATATATAATATTTATATATAATAAATAAATATATATATATAATATAAATATATATATATATATATATATTATATAATAAATATATATAAATATATATTATATATATATATAAATATAATATATATATAATATATAATATATATATAGTATATATTATAAAT